ACGACAACGTCTCAAACTCAACTCAGCTGAAAACTCGGCTCAGGACAGCGTCTCAAACTCAACTCCGCTGAGTTTGAGACGTTGTCCTGTCCCCTTTTCTCTTTCTTACACTATTTCTTTCGAATTTCATCCCCAGTCTCGGTATTTTGCATCATGATCAACATACACCAGCTCGCCTGCAAGGGATTTTGCATCATGATCAACATACACCAGCTCGCTTGCACCTTCACAATTCTTTAGTTTGTAATTGCTTTGGAGGTTTATTTTCCGAGACGGAAGAAACGCCGAGCAAAAAGCACAGAAGCTGACACAACTTGAGGTCGAGGAGCGTTTTACCATACCAGTAGAGTCGGAAGAGGAAAAACGGGGAGAAGGGGGGGGGGAGGGTTCCAGCCTCTCTCTCTCTCTCCCTGTCTCTCCCCACCCCCCACCCCCGCCCCCCCCAGATATTTCGGACTGTTTAAGAAAACAATACGGGGAAAGAGGGCATGGTCGAGCTTATTTTAATCTGAAATTATGCATATGTATAGCTACTGTCGCTCTTCACTGCATAAAAGGTCGCGTAGATGGTCATTGTTAGAAACGCGTTGAAAGAAGGCGCTGCTCGTCACATGCTCGGTGGTTCGGAAGTTCAAGGCTATGACTTTTCGACCTAAGTAAGTGTGCCTTTGGTAAAAAATAGTAAAAGAAGAAACATAACAATAAATGCAAAAAATAAAAAGCTGGAGAAAAAAAAAACCAAAAAAACTCAAGAATCCACCGGAAGTGTTGTACTCTCGCATATTCGCAGGCCCAGAACTACGAAACAAGTTTCTTCTACCAAAACGTGTACAGGCTAAAAGAAACATGTACCAAAAACGTGAAATGAAAAAAAATAAAAAAATAATAAGAATATATATATATATATTATGACGTGCCGGAGTTTGAACAATATTAGGAATCTTTTTCCCTGAGTTAATTTATTCCTCAACATGAATATAACAATATATACATTAATTTGTATTCTGCAGATGTTAATGATATGTACATTCTGTGGTGTTAATTTAAATGCGATACCTCAAACTATTTCGACGAAAACAATTACCAAGTTTAGGGCATAATTGCCCATAGATACATGTTTGGATATCTCTTCGAAACTCGTCTTGAAGAATACTAATCATATATCTTAAGACTGCATTTACCTAGGCTAAACATAGATCATATTTAAAAAGTTTAACATCTCTACCATAAATATCTTCGGCTATAGCGCGCTTCCAATATGGCACAAACGACAGTTGTCAAAAACCCGTCGTCCTTCCTCGCTCCTTCGGGAATCCATTTCTTTAAAACCAAGCATACCAGACGATTGAAATAAACGGCATTGTCTTTCGCAAGTAATGCTGCGCCACATGTAAAAATGCGATAAAAAAATTACGAATGTACCTCACAGCTTGAATCCAAATGAAACCGCCCGCCCGTCTTTCGAAGTTCGACGGACTTCGAACTTTTACCCTAAAAGTGCGAAGTTCGTCGAACTTTTGACTTTTCAGGAATTGGAAGTTCGAGAATTTTCGAATTCTTTAGATTAATAAATTCGAAAGTTCGAAGATTATCGAATTTCTTAGCTTAGGAAGTCCGAAAGTTCGAAAAGCTTCGAACTTTTTAGTGCAAGAAATTCGAAAGTTCGAAAGTCATCGATTTTCTAGTCTATCAAGTTCGAAAGTTCGACAAGCATCGAATTATGCAGCGTAATAAGTTCGAAAGTTCGAAAAGCGTCGAACTTCTTACTTTAGCAAGTTCGAAAATTCGAGTTCCGTCGAATTTCTTGATATGGAAAGTTCGAAAAATCGAAATCTTTCGAACCTTTCGAACCGCTTGATTCGATCATCGAACTTTCGATTCGAAAAAAGTTCGCGGCATCCCTACTGGAAATGGTTCAAACCAGCTGACCCCTCAGCTGGTCCCAGTTGGACTCCTATTGGTCCCAGTTGATTCCCAGTTGGGACCAGTTGATTCCCAGTTGAAACCAGTTGAGGTGCCAACTGGTCCCAGTTAGAAATTTTCGCCTGAATTTTTGTTGTTGTGAGGTGAGCCGTTCACTGATACACAGGTGTAACATTGTGAGTGACACCCAATTGTACAAGATAAAAATAATAAAGCGAGCGATATCTGAGGAGAGAAGAAGGCACATACAAAGAATCTAATTTGATCTAATTTGCATGGGCATTCAGAGACGTGCCGGGGGGGGGGGGGGGGGGGGGGAGGAGGAGGGGATTTTTACGTGCTCTTATGTACTATTGACACATAGCTCTTCCAAATCTACTCTGAAGAATCACATGGGAGCACGAATAGAGCAACGCTCTGGAGCAAGGAGGGTTTTCGAAGGCAAAAGTACAAGACAGCGAGAATGAAAATCTTTGAAGCAATTAATCTAGACACTACTTCCAAAACCGACGCGCCCCATCGCGGCGAAATACCACGCAGTGCACTCTGGGAACTAGTTGGCCACTCAGTTTTGGTTTCGACTGAGCAGCTTCACCTCATGCTATCACGCCGCGACCGAACGCGCTGCTTGCGTTTTCGATTACCCGACTTTTCACGAACATACAATACACTGATTCTCGAGCGATACAAAACGAAGACCGGGGCAGTTTCTTTGGTTCCCGAAACACCGAAACACCCTCCGTGTGCACGTTTGAGCTCAATTTCAATAATCCCGTCTAGTACCACTGAACTAGAAATGAAATTTGTTCATCTGGAGCCTTATACGTATTTTGTTTGCCAAACGTCCGTTTCTTGTTACTTCATTGGGCGAAAAGAAAGCCGCATCCTCACAGGGTATCAAAGTTGAGCCCAGCGTTTACGCATGAACTTTTAAGGAAACACATGAAATTCGACCTCACTTCTGCACAAAAGTTACTATGATGTCTTCCTCGTGTCATTATATATCTCCCACTCGAGTTTCATGTATAGAAGATTAACTTCTCGAAAACGCTGAGATCGGCTAGCTACGACGGAGGCCCTAACAAGCTTCCCCTACTTCTCGCTAAGCCTTTTAGGACGAGCTTTTACAGACGCCCAAGATCTGCGCCTGAACGGTGTGTCTGAAATTATCTCGGCATACTCAGGCAGGAAGAAAACAAACACGTAACAAATATTATGGCCATTAGCACCCGTCAAACGCGCTTTGAATTCGTTCGAGTCTTTTGTGAAGAATGTCGCACCGTGCGCCGGACGGGCATGAACCCCTATGCGGTGCGCATGGGGGTTCATGCCCGTCCGGCGCACTACCGGGGAACGGTGCGACATTCTTCACACAAGTGCTCGACTTTTGCTTTCTCAAAACGGTCTGTATGTGCGAATTTGCCTATATGATTGCAGAATAACTTTATTTGCATACGCGATGTTGAATAATAGTGGAATGCAAGCGGGTGGGGACTTCACTTCGTGCAGTGCTGCGGGTCAGTACAGATAAGAGATAAGAAGTGTGTTAAAATTGAGCTTTTCAATAGCGCCTCCGAGTTTTACCTCGCATACTCGGGCATATTAAGAAATGCAGTAATTGCAAAAAGTAATATTTCGTCTATGGACGCACGAAACAAACTTCCTGATCAACAACACTAATGTAAAGGCGCGAGCTCGATGTATGCGTACTTGGTTGATACAGCTTGTTGATTCGTACACAAGCAAGGTCCCCGAGCTTTGCAGCGTCGAGATTCCCAGCATTGGCTCGTCCACATACCTCGATTGGAACGCTAACAGGAAAGCTCAAGTACAAAAATACAACAAGCATGTGTTAAGACAAGCTATACGTCTCAGGTTAGTGCTAAAGCTTTGAGGCCTGGCCATTTAGGTTAGTTTAGAGACCACACATGACGCTCTCGGGACCAGAAAACCATCTCTTGTCGACGTGTCGATCGAAACAGAAACCATGCCACCCTCCTTCCAACTAGTTCCCAGAGTGCAACGCGCGCCGTGTTGCAAGCAGGGCTTTATGGAAGTAGTCGAGCCGCGCTCAAATGAGCCAGCACTGATCAGTGAAGAGGAGCTATTGTGCGCGGTATTCTGTAAATCGTCTAAGGGCGAAAAAAACACGTACCTTCCAACCCCCTCTTCCGTCGCTATTGGACGCTGGATCAAGCTCGTTTCTGTACCGGTCACGAGTGCCGAAGACGCTGATCCAGAGGCACGTACGGTTTCACGCACATTGAACTCGCCAAACACATCCACACGGCGTCGATTTTTGATCTGTATTCAAGCGCGCGAAGGCCGAAACACAGCACTTCGGCGTGCCAAGGAAGCTTTGAGCACGCCGCGAGACCGGCGAAACTTGCTTTCGACAAGTTGTTTTCCTTTTTCCTGCGGCACTGCGCTTTCGTAAAAATTTCCGCGTTTCTTTAATGGCAATATATCGCGACTAACATAGAATCTTTAGAATGTCTTCGGCGAATAACGACGAACGAGTAGAAAAGCTGTGTTTAGCACGCTAACGCCGGCCTCTGCAACGCTAGCAAATCAAGAAAAGAACTGCATGCAAGATGGCCGTCCGGTGGCCGCACTCGAGGAGCGTCGAGAGAGCCGTCGAAAGCAAGCGAAACACGGCGGCGCGCCGCAAGAGCCGTCACGACAGCACGCCGGCGTCGCTAGTGCGACCGTGCGCCCGTTTCACCGCGTAGCGCGAAGGCGCACAACCGTCACGAGCGCACTGCGCCGCTCGTAGCGCCATCTTTACTCTGACAGAGCAACTCAAAGAGGTGTCCGCGTCCTTGGTGCGCCCGTCTGCCCTGTCTTCCCCACTCCACGCGACAGCGCGCTCGTAGCGCCATCTGTACTCCAACAAAGCAACTGAAATAGGAGCCCGCAGCGCCCGTGCCTGCTTCCCGGCGCGCGCCCCTCCGCGCACCTCGCCATTGGCGCTCCGCAATAGCCCCTCCCCCTCCCCTCTCCCAGGCTCCTCCCCTCTTTTTAGGCCACGCCAGCGGCAGACCAGCGACATCTTTACCCGCTGCGGCCCGCTTGAAATGAGGCGGGTTTTTTTGATCGAAGATGACCTCCTACTTCTCAGTGCGGTTCAGGACATCACTCCCTTTGCTGACCGGCCGCTCTGGGCAGCGGTTGCAAGAAAACTAAATGAAGCAGCCGGCAACGCGTTTACGGTCCGCGCCGTCCGGGCTCGATGCGATCGTTTGATAGCCCAGTTCCGTTGTCAAGACCGCAAGAATCTGCGCAAGTAAGTTAAAATTCCGTTTTTGTTCGTGTCAAACTCGGCAGAAAATCAAAAAGCCAGTTACTGTCCTTTTGGTTTCCTCGAAACGTAGGTCGGGGACCGAGCAGCAATACGCGAAAAAAGAAAAGTTGCTCCAGGACATCTCAGACTTGGCCACAGAATTCGGACACCTGCCGAAAGTGCTGCCAAGGCGGGCCGCCACAAGTCCTACAGAAATCACGCACACGGAGCGAATGCAGGCCGCCAGTCCGGGGTTGAGTGCGGCTGCGAAAGTGCGCGCGGTACACGCGATGAGAGACGCTGCCACCTCTGCTGCATGTGAAGAACATGTTGCAGCAGCAGCTGGTCACCTGGTGGACGGAAATGGTACGTCTTAATCATGGCGGTGTATAGGCAGCCGGCAATGGCCAGGCGGCGCCACGAGAGTACTGCATTCAGCGCCACAAGCGGAGGCGTCTCTGTTAATGGGGCGGCCAGTTTGCCCGTCGGGCCGTTGCGAGCGGCGGCGATCCCGATTTCAGCACTGTGCACCTGCGTCCCTGCGTGCCATGTCCTTGGTTCTAGAATCTTCATTCGGATACCAGTTTGAGTTGTCTTCACTATTTGTGGCCGCCCGATCGGTCTGTGCTTCGTTCGTCTCCCAGGAAGTTGCACAACACAACGAAAAGGCAGCGAATGGGTTTATTGTACACCCCGGTTGCCCGTCTTCGAGAGCCGGCAGTCCGGACCCGCCAACCCTAGTTGTCGCCCGTCGTTGAGAGCTCACAGTCTGAGCCCGTGTCCAGGCCTGCGGATCGCCCTTCCCACACCAGTGCTGCGTAGGCAAGCTGTTCCGGGCTATCACAGCCAGAGTCTCGCTGCGGAACCACTCCGGGATCGTCATGGACTAGGCCAGTATGGTCACGGTTCTCCGCTTCCGCCGGTCCTGATCCAGGCAGAACGGCTCTATCGTTCCTGCCCGGCCCCAGCCTCGTACAGCACGCTCTTCCTCTTTCCTCGCCGGCTGGCCCCCGCTCGCGCCTCGCCCGGCCGTCTTCTCCTCCCGACGCCCACACACACTAGAATAAAATTTGGGTAATTAGAACCAAACTCTGCATGCTACAGAACCGTACGCACATTGCAAAGCCTGTTGTAAAAAGGGAACAGGCAACAAAGTGTATGTGTAGGAAGGATATTTAAGCTTCGCACGAGCTTTTTCTAAAGAAAAACTTTAGCATCCTGCTTTCTGCACACCTTCACATTTGTTACCAGACTCAGCATTAAATTTAGTTGCTGAAACAAACAAAACATTGTACAACGAAAATCCACTATTTGAAAACTCGCGGGTTTGAAAGGTTTTGGTAGCGACCACGCGTGCTGAACGGCATAGGAGTGCCGGAACGGGCCGACTGGCCTTTTGCTTGAAGACCTGATCGCCCGATTCTCGACGTCACAGCAAAGCAACAATTGGCCCGATTGTTCCTATCGTATTTCCCTATGTGGCTGTCAAAGCGAGTCGTAATACAACTTGTATAAATATGTTACTTTGCCGAGTAGTTTGCAAAACGAGTTGGTCCGACCACTTTCCAAGCCTGCACATATATTTTCCTTCACATCCCCTCCCCCCCTCCCCCCAAGTTTCTGTAAAATTCACTTACTTCATGCGTTGCACTGCAGTAATCCACTTCTGTCGCCGTGTCACTTCCCAAGATCTCGAAGGGTAGCGGTGAAGTTTGACGCTTCAGTCCCTTTCGCGACTGTGGCCGTCTTTCACGCAGCAGTAGTAGCGTTTATTTCTTGGGGTAACTCTAGGAGTAGGCTAGATCTTACAGGAACCCGGTGAGGTCATAGAAACGCGAAGTTGGGACTTACTTTTACTAAAGACGGTTCCAAAAAAGCTCACGCCGATTTGAAACGCAACATTCACACGTGGTTTCTGGATGCGCCCGCCCGCAGCCCCCGCGACCCGCGCAGGCCTGGCCTACCCAGTTTCTTTATTTTGCAGCCGCTAGATGGCGCAACGTGTAGCGCCAAACTGCATTGCAGATTGCCTATTCGCAACTCCAGCGCGCCGCTCGCCCTCCCGCGGACGAACGGAGAACCAGAGGAGCGGGGACGGCAGCGGCGAGCGACGGCGGCGCGGAAACGGTGGCAGAGACTGTCGGCCTTGATGCGTGAAGCCGTTTTAACGAAAAAAGTGAGCGCGTTAAAAAATGAAGTTTTGTGCTCCACCTTGCAACAGCCTTGCACAAAGGATTGGGAGTTCTAATTCCATTAGGGACTTTTCGTGTATCGCATACGCTGCCGATTTCTGGTCTTGTGCATGGCCGCCAGCTCAATCTGTGCTCAACGTGACGGAAAACGCTCCCGCTAATAATGAAGATCTCTATAGTACGGCCTACGGAAGGTCTATTCTGTGCCATAAGTAGGAGAAAAGTCGTCGCGCAACGGTATGTCGAGCAATACAAATCGGGAATGGGTTCGCGTTTTAAGGCCGTAACAAGGAACATGACCATTAATTACAAGCACTTTAAAAAGACAGAATACCCGTATTTGCTTTCAGGTAATTACAAAGGAAGTAAAAAAATGCTCGAAGCATTTTATGCGCGTCTGTGTTAGCCAGCCGTTTGTGTTGAGAGCTTAGAACGCGCAGTTTTGGCCAGAGGGACCGCAATGTTGCAAATAACATGATATAACAAATGATAGAGCAATAAACAAAACCCCTAAACACGACGATTATGTTAATAGGCAGTTTTTGCAGAGCGTACGACACCCCTAAACTTCAGTTGGGCGTAAAGCGCACTGACGTTCAACCGGCGCTACCAACTTTCACGAGCGGCTTGATAGCCGAGTAGTGCAACTTATTAAAAAAGCTTCAGTGTAAATAACTGTAAAAAGAAAAGAAAGTAATCGGGGTTTTCTTGGCCCTACTGCAAAACCTCGGTGTTTTTGTTTTGTTTTTCGGCACTCTTTGATGCGTACTTTAGCTGTTTAATATCTTATATTCCGCCGTCATCAAGCCTCTCGTAAAAGTTGGGGCCGTCAGTTTGACGTCAGTGGAGTGCACGGCAAACTGAGGTTTTGGAGTGTCGTATATGTGTCAAGGTGTGTAAGGACAACAACAATTTTTTTAAATATTTTTTAGAGTGATGAGCACGGCAACGCTTCTGGCGCGCACTGAAAATTGTGATTCAAAGGCGCTGCGCGAGCTTGCGGTTGTAATGCTACACCGCACGGTAGCCTGTGGTAATAAAATTTTTATCAATAACCAGAGAGAAGTTTGATTACGTGTTGCAATACACTAAAACCGAGACGGTGAGGTGCGATTTGAGAGGCTGTGTCGCGAAGACACCAATACTGTGTATTGCTGCTTTTCCGAAGCTTGACGGTCACCGTTCGCGGCTCTCTTTTTAGAGCACTAATGGCCAGGCGAAGCGCAAACATATCTTCATCACCGTCAAAAATATTCTGCCACAAACAGTAACGTGGCCGGTGCCGAAAACGCGCTCGCTCACCGCAAAACTTCGCACTTTGAGGTTTGTGCAACTTTTAAATATCAGTATGCTCGTTTTCCTACCGTGCATCAGCACCTCCGTCACCTGTTATATGATCCCCCCCCCCCCCCTAACCACTTCGCACTTGTAAAGAAATAAATCATTTTTAGCGCGCTGAACAGCGTCAGCGAGCAGGCGCACGGGATATCCTGGAGAATCTATCCCCGTCTCTTCCGCCATCTTGGAACTACCGCCCCGCCACCTATAGGGCGTTGGAGTTGCGAATAGTTGAATACTGAGTTTTATAACTGAATCTCGTTCCACTGATATGTCAGTGCATAAGTAAGGCAACAAATTTTGCTTTTGGGGCCCTTCCATTTACTAAGATGGAAGAAATTGAACTCTTACAGAATGACTGCATGCCTTTTGTATATAGTTTCTGTCATATATTGAACCAAAGAACGCAAATCAACAATAGCAACACAAAGTAGATCTGATTCATCCGAAACCTGACTGGGTTCACTGCTGGTGGCATATGTTCAAAGCTGTAGAAACTTTCCACTGATACTGCTTTCCAGGCACGCGATAGGTGAGAACAATCACCACCACAGTGTACTGATGCCTTGAGATGTTGTCTGCCCTTAATCCATTTGAGGATAATTGGTAACGGGCAGGAAGCAATCTTTAGGGCCACTACACTGGCAGTTATTTCGTTACATCCGCACCCTCCTAGGCCTATCGCACCTCAGCTGTTGCTTGCTGCAGCGTGACGCTCCGCTCGGTGGCCAGTCATCCCATGCATAGTTCTCACTTGACGTCACTTCCTCTACTCCCGCCTGCCGCCCGCCATTTCCCGGTACTAAGAAGTGGACGCTGCCGCCGCCGCATGTGCACCGCTCGATTGCAACTTCGCTACAGAATTTGTATCACCCGTACAGCGCGATGGCAAAAGCCATTCGCCATACGTTCTGTTCTTATTTCGAAGAGCTTGTGGGCCCCACGCGGGCTCGATGAGAGTCTAAAGTGAACACATGTGACGGCATTGATCCGTACAGGCTGCGGTTTGGCTTGTTTCGTCACGTGTGTATCTCTAACGACGTGTGTGAACCCATCCGGTCCACCCACACTTTTGATTACTGATAACTGTGGCACAAAATAAAAAAACTTGTTCTTTTACTTTTAGAGTAAGAAACAAAAATGGAGACACTCCTAACCATTGATCTCTATGAGAATTGCCGTATCCCGCATCCCGCTTAGTCGCTACAGCGCGAGTGCGGCCACTTGACGTTCATCTTGCATGCAACAAAATCGTGTTTTTTTCTAGAGTTGCAGAGGCTGGGGTGGCAGCGTGCTGAAGACGCGTTTTCTACCCGTTTGTCGTCATTCATAGATGAAGTATTTTAAAACTTCTTTTGTTAAAACACAAACCGTTGAAAACACAAGCAAATTTTTATGAAAGCGCAGTGTCGCAGGAAAAAGCCACGACTCGTCGAAACCAAGTTTCGCCAGTCTTGTGGCGTGATTAAAGCTTCCTTGGCACGCCAAAGCACTGCTTCACTGCGCCTTCGCAAAAACATTTCTGCAAAAAAAGTTGATTTTGAAAAATGCCTTATCTACATCCGCCAACATCTAGAGAGTATTCCTAGAAAGTTTCATTTGTTTACAGTGCACAGTTATCTTTTATAAATTATTTTCAGTCTGCCAGTGCTAAACAAAAGGTAGAGGTTTGATCACTTTCAATGTGTTCTTCTCTAATCCACTTTTTGGCATAAATTCAACCTTGATAAAACTATTGTTTTAGTATGAAACTATCGAGAGACAATATTTGCGGGTTATCTACGGAAATTTTATGGAGCGGGTTACTACGAACTTAGATTTGGCATTTTCATGTTCCTTTATTATAAAAAATTGTGATTTGCCATACACGGTAGGTGTAAAAAAAAAAGAAGATTTTTCACAGTTTTGTCTTGTGTTCTGTCGCGCTCTTTCGCAATCTTTCACTGGGGACCCCAGATGTCGGCGCACAGATGCCACTCCTCCTTACCCACCTTTACCCCCCTGCCTTCTTTAGAGCGCCGCACGCTTGCGTTTCCCGCTTGCAGCGCCAATGCACCTAACAAGCATAATAATAAAAAAAAATATATTAAAAGTAAAAAATATGCACTTAGTAAGTACTTTTGGTTTAGAAATAATAGTCAAGGTAAAATCAAATCAAGCTGGTTAAAACAAAAGACAATCTAAAATCAGCATAAAGGTTGTTGGCTCCATTCAGCCAAAACAATCCAATCCGTAGATCTATAGCGCTCTACCGGGGGAAACAAGGAGACGGTAGGCTCTTTAAATCGACCGGAAAATTCGGTTTCTTAACCTATCGCGCTACGACTTTGTGCAGCGTCGCCCACAGATGGTGCATTTTTTTTGTAAAATTTGCAAAGAGCGAACTTACCTGAGGAAAAAGTAAAGAAAGAAAAAGGCTTAGCTCCTATGGAAACGCAGCGACGCCACCGGTCTGCAATCAACACGGCGCCGTTTTGCACGGTAGGCAAGAGATGGCGCAACGAACGCCGCCAACGAATGAGCTTACGGCGCCGAGAGCCAGCGTTCTTAGCAGACGATCTTTTCGAATCAAAAGCGGCGCGCGTTCCGCAAACGGCGACAGTTGCAGAAACAAAAACAGGCGCGGTAACAACAAGCAACTGCAGTTCCTTGTCTGCTAAAAACGCCGGTTCTCGGCGTCGTCTGCTCGTTCGTTGGCGGCAGTTGGCGTCGCGACCGCTTGCGCCATCTCTTGTGTACCGTGCGAAACGGCGCCGTGTTGTTTGCAGACCGGTGGCGTCGCTGCGTTTCCATAGGAGCTAAGCCTTTTTCTTTCTTTACTTTTTCCTCAGGTAAGTTCGCTCTTTGCAAATTTTACGAAAAAAATGCACCATCTGTGGGCAACGCTGCACAAAGTCGTAGCGCGATAGGTTAAGAAACCGAATTTTCCGGTCGATTTAAAGAGCCTACCGTCTCCTTGTTTCACCCGGTAATTCGGCGTTCGACGCCGTTCGACAAAAATTTGCGACAGGGACAGTTGTGTTGTCTGCAGTCGTACCAATCATCTTTACCGCAAACTTAGCGCAAACTTTCTTAAGATTTCTGTCGCCAGATCTGCAGCGCGCTTCATCACAAGTGCGACTTCGTAAGCTTCTGGCGAGTTTTGCTCGATCATAACGGGGCGCTGAATTCTAGGGCAGCCATCGTGCTTCAAGGACCACCCTGACTTGGTGCCCTCTGTGTTCAACTACGCAAGAGCCCCTGGCGAGTCCGCAGTACAGTCGCAAGACCCCTTCATGGAGAGGCACGAAGGTAAATGCGGCATTTGTGTTGCCACCCTACATTTGGTTGCCTTTATACTCCATCTCAGGAACATCAGCAGTTCACACAAAGGCATGGGCATGAGCACAAAGGCTTTGAAAAATGCCTCCTATGCATGAGCTCTCGTACAAACAAATACATTGTGCACAAATTTAGCGCAATGGATGAACGCGGGAAGAAGGAGACAGGACAGAGCGCTGCTTACAAATGACATTTTATGAGAAGATATGGAAAGACAAACATTAAATTGAGACTAAAATCATAGAAAAAGGAGAAGATAGAATATGCTAGAAAAGGAAAGGAAGAAGACAATATAAAAAAAAAATGTAAGGAAAAAGAGAACGGATAAAGGAAGAGAAACATACCGGAAAAGTGCACTAAAAAAAGATAAGACAAAAAGCACTACTAAAAAATTCAAAAAGGAAGTTTTTTTGAAAAAAAAAAATACTCATAAAAAATTGTGCAGCTACTGAACCTGACAAGCTTACCGACGGCGCATCCTCTCCGGTTGCTATGACGTGGGCTTCATCTATTTCTCGTGTTCTCTTGTCCACACTTCGTCGCAGGATCATTGTGCGAGAAAACAACGGGTAGCACTCACAGTCCTTCACGTGTACTGCGAGCCGTCTCGACAGTGTAGATTTAAGAGAGAGAGAGAGAGAATAGATAAATCCAAACTGTGGGTGCCATCCGCTGTTTGCTCGCACAATGACCTTGCGACGAAGTGTGGAGAAAAGAACACGGGAAACAGGTGAAGCCCAAGTCAGTAACCAGAGGGGATGTGTGTGTTAGTGCTCCATCGATAAACTTGTCAAAGAAGGAACATCGGTACCCATACTATTTTTCATAGGAATTTTTTTCAAAAATCTTCCTTTTTAAATTTTTTAGTACTGTTCATTTTTTTCTTCTCTTAATTTATTTTTTAATTTGTTCCTTTTCTTTTATTCTTATTCTTTTTTCTTTAATTTTTCTGATATTGTCTTCGTTCTTTTCTTTTCTAGCATATTCCTACTTCCCTTTTTATGATTTTAGTCTCAATTTTATCTCTGTCTTCCTTTATCCTCTCATAAAACGTCAGTTGCAAGTAGCACTCTGTCCCGTCTACTCCTTCCTCTTACAACAAGAGCATTCTGCTGAGCTCTGCTCTCGTGCCTGTGCCTTTCTCTTTACTGCAGACACTTGTGAGATGGAGTAGAAACCATCACAAAAGGAGGCTGCATGCACTGCTCCTTGCGAGTTTCCTTTTCAGCGCTCGGCCCGGTAGCACTTCGAGCGCACTCTTGAGAGTGTGCTTCGGAGTCGGCTTTAGCTGCCAACTCGTCCACGGCCGGGCTAGTATAAAAAGGCGCGCTTTCTTGCGGCCTTCGCAATGGGGGTAGTTTCTTTCTGCGACCGCGGCTTGGTGGGATCGCTGCGATGCCGCCACCAGTCGCGTCATTACACTCCATTCACCCCTAGGCCGAGACTGCAGTGGAAGCTACGTCCTCGTTGGACCAGTCATACGCCTCTCTTTTGCCGCGTCCATCGCGCTCCCGGCCATACCCGTGCACAGAGAGCCAAGTCAGGTGACAAGAGGGAGGCAGCTTCTTGGCCTGGCTTGCACGTAGCTCCAACCATAGTTTCATGTTAAGGAAGAAGAGAGTATAGACCTTTTCACTTTAGTACTTGGATAGAGGGCGCTGACGCACTTGGCGCGATTAGGTTGCTTTAATTTGGTTGGTTTCGCTTTCGAGCGAACACGGCTAGTTGCTGTATTACATTGTTTTTGTTTAATTTTGTGATACGATTAATTTTCTTGTAGCATACAACCAATGAAGCAGTGGTATTGAGTCACTTTGAGGACTACGAGGTGTATTTTAGCCTAAATTGCGGACTTTTTTTACCTACTCCTTTGATGTAGCTGATTATGATCAGTTGCGAAACGTCTGACTGATGTGCAGAGAAGCTTACTTTCGTCTACAGCCGTACCCGATGACACCAGTTTCCAGAAAAACAATATAATGAAGAGACTAACACGTGAATGTATATAAGCATATCAACAGCTCGATTAGCTATGTGCTTAATCGGCCAGAACAGATGAACTCGCGAGTTTACTACTCACTGTTTCGTTTTCGTGGGCACCCAACCTTTAGTGAACTTCGCAGACTAAGAACGTATTTTGTAATGATGCAGATAATTGATATAACGCAGTAGTAACGCCTCGGCCTCTTTTTTTTTATATTTCTGTACTCGAGCATGTTTTGACATGCCGAGTAAGAAATTTCTTAAATTATCAACCCTAGTAAAGTACTCACAAGCAGCATTTCGCGATATTGGCCCTAGGAATAAATTATTTTTACATGAACATTTGCTTACTCAAGGTATGATATATATCATATATGACAGGCCCGTCAAATTAAACCTGGCATTGGTCTTTCGTAAAATCGGACAAATAAAATTAAAGGGCGCAGGAGGAGAAATACACTGGAAAGTTTGGCTGAATTCTAGCACTAGGCGCCACTTCACGGGCCTGTGTGAACTAATATTTATCAGTTTGAACAGATTCGCTCTGTAAATTTGGGCGTCGCCAGCCACCAGAAGGAAACCTCTATTCACCATTGACAATCCTGGACTCAAGTAATTGTTATGCGGACGGCTCTCTTTTCTTTTTTTGGCGTAAAATATTGCGGACCTCAGATACTCACAAAAATTAAAACAGTGCATGTATAAAAAAAAAAGCGTCGTCATTATTGCGCATGCGCCAAACCCTAACTGCGTTTTGGATTCGCAAATAGGTACAATGTTATTTCCTTGTGCACGCTATTCTAAAACTCTCTACCGTTTAGTGTCTGTGGCAGTTTCTTACGCGGCAAGTTCCAACCTTTGTGTTAAAATAAATTAAGTAAACGGCATTGCATATCTAAAGATAATCAATAAATCACTTCAATGACTGTCAAAATGGGAGCGAGCACGGTATACAGTTTCTTAAACTACATAAGTAAAACGACCAACCAAATGTTTATGTCGCAAAAAAAAAAATGAGAACCTCAACCACATGTAGGTGTGATATTATGAACAAACAAATCGCCTGATGTTGATGTACCATTACTTCTAGCCTCAGATAAAATACAAGTTAAACGTTCGTTGTCTATTTCCTCGGCGGGTTTTCTCACATAATCAAAAGAAACTGTTTTCGATATATCATGAATTCAAAGAATGATACTTTCAGGAAATAAAGATAGTCTCCTTGCGCTGACTATTCCTGACGCCTTCCAATCCTAAATGCGCGAAATAAATATACGCGCTTCTTACTGGGAATGTTCCATTACTATTACTAAACAAACCCCAGTTTTCAGACTGGCTGTATCGAAGACCTCAGTCTGGACGTCGCGTGCAGCCTCCTCTGCCTCGTCCATGCTGAGGACTACGTCGCCGTCCGCCACCACTTCTCGCGTCGCCGTCACGTAGGTCCGAGCACGGTCGTCCCGCTCGTGTCCGAAGCAGTGGCACTTGTCCCGCTACAGTACTTTACTTGTGCATCGGATGTGTCCCTTACCTTTGTGGCATGCACACGAAAAAGCGCATCCCTGAATTATGACCAGAGCGTTGCCACCCGCAACCCTCACTGGTGCGGGAGGCATTCTGGGGCGACGTCCTTCGTTACGCTTAGCTGCACCAATCTGGTCGTCGACTGGACGCCAGTGAAACGTTCCTCCTTGCACTTTTCACGCGTGAGGTCCCAAACCTTCCCGAAGAGCTCGAGGGTCTTCCCGACGTCTTTGCCCGTCACGTGGAAGGGGAGCTGATGCGGCTTCGTGCAGACAGCCGTGTTTTCCGGGTCCACGTTTACGCAATGCTTGCCCCTTGCCTCCAGTTCCTTGGCGGCGACCGGGTGCTGCTCAGCATCCTTTATCTTGAGGGTCACCATCCGGACACGGTCCATTTGGTAGGCACGCGAGTGCGTCGATGTGCCCAATCACACCGAGACGTTCCAGCGCATCACTGAAGTTGCCCATCTCGTATGGACGTGCACTCGCATCGCTGTGCAGTGGTGCGGAATCGCGCCCAATGGTTCCGGATGGTAGGGGAGGCAGAAGGACCCAATAATCCGAGCTAGCGGAAGAAGCAAACAAACCACGGCCAGCGAGAGGCGTTGTCGCCACTCCTGAGAAGACCACGATTGAGCAAGCATAGTGCTCGAAAGCCGCGAGTAGAATGATGTCACGACGCATCGCCGGGAGTTGAGGTGCATTTGGCGGGAAAGCCCCACGGGGCACCCGCTCTGCGTCCCGCTGATGTGAACTCGACACCTTGTCGCACATTTTAACGTGAAACATTCTTTGGCTAAAGTGTTTGGCATTTCGTGAGGCCCAGAGAAAAGTGAATGCTGGATAAAAGCGTGGCCGCGAGGCCCGGCACTGATCATCGTCGTTATCGGGTAGGAGAAGAGTGAGCTGCTCGACATTGATTGGTTAACGGGGAGGCCGTATGACCAGAGGGTTAGGTGCAGAGCTCGACCACCTGTGCGCACTGAGAGAGAGGAGCTTGGCAGTACGGAAGGCTCTGGAAGATCGCCAGGTTTGTCATCCCAGTCAGCAGTGTGTCGCCTCATTCTAGGAAAAACTATCGAGTGTACACATGCCACGCGTTAAACCATCTGATGAAGAGCACTGTGAACGTAGGCGTCTGAACTCTCAGAGTGTCGCTAAATGTTTGTGATGCGAGAACATTTCACGTATCCAACACAATGACCTAGCAATCCACCCTGTTCCAACTTTCAGGTTCGAGAGTACAAAATATGCTTGTTGCCAGGCCGGATTAGGCGGGATTGGAAACGAGGCTGCCATTTTGCTTGACGCGAACGGCACTGTGTGATTCCCGGTGTGCTTGGAAGATGCCAAAGTCCCCGTTGCGTTTGGATGTCGGAATCGGCACGGGCCAGGGAAAGGGACAAGTTTTTTTCGGTTTCCTCCGTTAGAAATTTGACCTTGATGGGAGAGTGGCGTGGGTTTGCGAGGTGAAGGCAGTTGACTCGTCAGGCTCTACTAAAAAGGGGAAAAAGACTAGCAGAATGCGTCAAATCCTGGGCGCTGACACCGGCAGTCCCGAGAGAAAGAACGAGAAAGAGAGCGAGTGAATAGTGGAGAAAGAAAACGGACAAAAGGGTAGACATATCCGTTTTGCCGCGGCGACTTGAAGTTGCTGGAGTACTTATTGACTTTATTTAGCTTTATACAATGCGTGATTCTGGTGATTTCCTGCAAAGTAAGCTAGGTAAGAACAAGGCACAGACCGTTAAAGTTGATGTGTCAATGCTTCTTTGTGCATATTAAGACGTCGCCAGTGATAGTGGGCCGTCGGGACTGCCGATGTCCGCGTCTGTTCTCCGCCGTTCCCAAGCAGCCGCAATGCATGGGGCCTTTTCCTCTTGGTTAATATGTTAACTCTATGCCTACAAAGGCTTGGGAGGCAAATGAGGACCCACCTACTGCAAACCATTTAATTTTCGGGAAATCCTAATGTTTGTGAATTTCTCGACTTAGATATTACCGCGAATGTATTACTCTATGGTAGAGAATGCACAGCTAACCACTCTAAGTTGCAAAGCTTTCTGTCCGCGAAATGTTCTTGAAATTTGCAAAATATCGAGCCCGGAAAAATAAAGTTGTTCAGATTGTGCGGAGCTCATTTCGTCCTAGGTCAAGCACTTTCATCGCATCTCAGAAAAGCACGCTACAAAGTTGCGCGATTGTTCCATTGCCACTTTATTAGACAGGAAAGCCATCGCTGTGGAAACACCACCCAGCCTTTGTGCCGACTGTGTTCACTGACAGGAAACAGCTACAATCTCGATCGCTAAGAGGGATGGAAAGGTCCCGCGTCCACCAAAGGTATCAAGTGACAGGCAAAGAAAGCCGCTCATGAGGCCCCCATGCTTCTCGAGAACCCGGCCAATACCGTGTACGGTGCCTTGATCATCAGAAGGCAGATACAGACGAGGCATATTCCAGAGCCATCTGAGGTGTTCTGCTTCGCGCTGCGGACATAACCCTCTTCCTTAAAAGCCCATTCTCGGTGCGCCTGTCGCAGCGAATCCGTCTTGCAGTGCAGGCTTCACCGCATTTTGTCTAGCGACATTTCTGCAAACCGCGTCGGCTTCTCAACCCAGCTGTCGGGCTGAAACGGGAATGGGATGTCCTCTGCCATCCTCAGTTATCATCGAAATGAAGCGGAGCCACAAAAACTAGACAGAAAGCCGACATGGTGGAAAACAAACTTGTAACAGACGTAGCAACGTGCACAGATCAAGCCTAATGGCGCCCTTATCTTCCTTCCAAGAAACCCTCAGAGCTACTCTCAATGAGCTTGAAAATGTCTGCCAATAGGTAGGCCACACCAGGGAAAAAGGGTGTATTCGCTTTTTGTTGCAGTAAAATGCCATGCGTGCCTTACATCATTGTAAAGTGAGTAGGTTTACTAGTTTTTGATGATGCCTAGCTAGTTTGTTAATTGAAACTGAGCTTTTAAAATTTATATTAATCTATTTAAAGAATCAAAATTTATTAAGTACCCTAATTATACTGAACACTAATAATTTTCTTTAATGGGCCCTTTGACACAAACCACTATGGCACAAACCTTTTTTTTTTTGTGCAATCCGTGATTTGGTTTGTGTTTGCAAAAATACCACGCATACACAATATTGGCTTTTTTTGTGGCAAACGCCACCAGGTGGTACTCCAGTCTTTCACGTCCTAAAGAACTTTCGGTTCATATGAAGAATGAACAAAGCCCACCTTAGTACCGCTTCTTGAAATGTCGATGAAATGTTTAACTTCCAATTCTCTAGGTGAACGCCAAAAGAATGAAGCGTGAGATCTGTTCAGATTTTCGAATCTTCTTGTAAACCAACTTGTCTCTTACAATACGTTAAATTCTACAGCCGTAGGTGCTCGTTAAATCTCCAACTTTGTGGTCTCTGTTGCATGTATGCTTTCTAGCACTGGTGCCTAGCTCTACAGGCTTCCAAAAACAGAGCAACCGGAAGTCGCTTGGGACGCAAGCGAATGTTCATGTTTGTAAACAGCAAGAGGGTCTATACGTCTGCAATATGGCGTCGGGTTAACCCCGTTGAGTGTACTTCTCACCAAGCATTAATACTGCTATTGGAAAGTTTGAATATTTGCACAACTCTATTTTTGTGAGGTGCCCATAACAAGACTCCTCTACTAAGCTTGGATGTCTTCTAGCAGGCATGAAACAGCAAGGAAGAAGTTATAAGCAAGTTCAGAATCACAGGACAAGCCCCTTCCTCCACGTTCTCTGCTCCACAGATTGGTGATCTTGTCTTGCAGTTGGTCGCTTTACCCAACTTCACTGACTTCACCCTGAAGTGACGGAACAGTGGAAGGCGAGACTGATTCAGTAAAGGCATGAAAGTGTAGTGCCAGTAGACTTTCAGAATGTGGAGGTAACCAGGTAGGAGCTATCTGATTGGTGGGATAACTTTAGCAAAGGACAAACATTTATTTTCATTTACGTGTTGACTTGTTCGGTGCGAGGTGCACGCAAAACCCAACTGCTAAAAGACGCGCCTGTCGAACGTTATGAGGTAATGCTGCATAGGTAGTGCAAGCCACCACCTGATAATAACTTATTCGTGTATTAGGCTCAAGAGCCTCTAGCATGCATACATAGCCTGATTTATTCATTCTCACCAACTAGGTGGTGTGAGATGTCTTGATTCAGAGTCATCAGCTTCAACCATGTTCATTGATCTATCACTTGCTTACGATTACAAATCACTTGGCTATGGTGGCATATAACGAGGTGGGCCAAGCAGAAAATTGAACGCATGGCACTTGTTCATGATGCCGCGCGATGGCACCAGACGCAGGGTTCCAGTGACTTTTTGCAGGTGAGATGAAGAAGCACTGTGGTTCTTCTGGCATCTTAACCCATTGGCACCAAATATTTCATTTAACTGTTCTACTTTTTCCAAGTTTATTTTTTGGCTAAACCAGATCGAGGGTGTTCTGATTTTAGTTTTTGCCCAAAAAGTAAGTTTCCTGCAGAGATCAATCATTGTCAACAATTTGTTTTTTCTATTTAAGGTTTTTGGGTTAGGTAGATATCAGCATTTCCGCAAATATATTGAAACAGATTTTTTATAGACAACATGACATAGTAAACACGATGCTGGAAATAAGTGCATATGCTTAATTCAGTAATACGCAGGAACGCATATCTACAAAGTCGCATAATGCATGGAATGCAGTATTTAAAAGAGTGATTGTTTAAATTTGTTTAGTCATCGTTAAACTAGTCATTTCAGAAAGTGAAGAACATATTGTTTATTCATTTTCTAGCACTTGACATGGTGATGTCATGGAGTGACAATATGAATTCTTCCGAATCTACCAAAAAAATTGACAGCACGGTGCCAAGTTGTAGTGTCACATGACACTGGCATCATATTACCTCAGGTGACATGACATCAGATGATGTCGTATTATGTCCCATAAATGTTGATGCTAAATTTAGCAGGAAAATTGATGTCTGTTTCAAGTCATGGTGTCTCATCACCCATCATTTGGTGACACGAACATGGTGCCATGATGTTACATGGTCAAGTGACATCAGTTTTTTCACCAGATTTAGGTGATACCATGTCATTAATGTGGTCATGTGACAACAATTTTCCAACTCAGCTTTGTGGGTAAATTATATCACATGACACTGGTGTCACATGACACTGGTGTCACATGACACTGATGTCACTGTTATTTCATGTGACAATGAGACATCACATAGTCAGAGCAACATGAGGGTGCCCCATATAGAGTTCCTTTATAAAGCTATCACTAACAGCATTTATGAAACAAAAAAGTTCTGAAAGTGGTTTATTTGGTTCACACTAATGAAACAGTTATAGAGTCAACTCTATTTCAGTACTTCTTTGAACTGAAATAAAAAAGGAAAAGAAATTAAACCACTCAGCTGAAGCAGAACTACAATAATGGCTGCTTATTTCTAAAACATGCAGCTATCTTTGTTGTGCTTTCCTAGTGTGTCCTAATACAGATAAGGTTTTGTAGGACAGGGAGCTGCACTTTTGGGAGAGACCACCTGCCCACTGAAAGTCACCGAGGATATCTGGTTTGGATGCTGTTCCTGCACCTATGTCACCAGAGATCAGCGTGGGATCGTGAGCCACCTGGTTGTCCATGGCGATGAACAATGCAAGTACCTGCAGCATCCTCCCATGTCATCTGCCTCTAGATCCCAAGTACCCAGCAACATTCAAAAGCACAAGAGTGAAAAGGTTTTTAAGTGCAAGTTGTGTCCTCAAGTATTTGCTAAGAATCGCCAACTGACCTGGCATAATCAAACACACACAGGTGAAAAACCATTCAAGTGCAAGCTGTGTCCTCGAGCCTTTGCTAAGAATTGCCAACTGACCTGCCATAATCAAACACACTGTGGTAAAAAGCCTTTTGAGTGCAAGCTGTGCCCCCAAGCCTTTTCTGAGAGTTACAACCTGATCCGCCACAATCGAACACACAGTGGTGAAAAGCGATTTAAGTGCAAGTGGTGCCCCCAAGCCTTTTCTCGTAATTTCCATCTCATCCACCATAATCAAACACACGTCAGTGAAAAACCATACAAGTGCAAATTTTGTCCCCAAGCCTTTGCTCAGCAATCCAGGCTGATGCGCCATCATCGAACACACACTGGTGAGAAGCCATTTAAGTGCAAGCTGTGCTCCCAAGTCTTTGCTCAGGCTTCTCATCTGAAAAGCCATAATCGAATACACACTGGTGAGAAGCCATTTAAGTGCAAGCTGTGCCCCCAAGCCTTTGCTCAGAATTCTCATCTAACAAGGCATAATCGGACACACTAACGAAAAGCCATTTAAGTGCAAGCTGTGCCCCCAAGCCTTTGCTCAGAATTCTCATCTAACAAGGCATAATCTAACACACGGATGAAAAGCCATTTAAGTGCAAGCTATGCCCCCAAGCCTTTCTGTAGTGTTCCATGCTGATTTGCCATAATCGATTCCACACAGGCGAAAAACCATACAAGTGTAAGTTTTGTCCTCAAGCGTTTGCTCAGAGTTTTAGTCTGACCCGTCATAATTGAACACACACTAGTAAAAAGCCATTTATTTCAAGCTGTGCCCCAAAGCCTTTTCTCAGCATTGCGATCTGATCTGCCATAATTGAACGCGCAGTGATGAAAAGCCATTTAAAGGGGTACGGAAACCAAATTTTAGAGCTCATCTCTGCTTAAACATAAAGTGGGTTAAAGTAGGACTTCATCAATACCAATATTTCGTAGGATAACAAGAAAAATTTTTTAATTGAATATAACTATAACAAAAAAAAACCTCGTGTATGTCTAAAGCTTAGATGGAATGTTGTGACAACAACATGTTAGTAAGAGCAGCGCCACACCGGAAAGTAGGCTCAATCATGGAGATTACTGAGGCCTGAACTCAGGCCTCCCCAAAGGCCTGAGGCGATTTGGTGAGTAACAACAGAGTAACAACCCTACGGAGACGCGCTCACACAATAGAGGCGTGGGGGCACACAAAGTGTGCCAAAACTCTCAGTGTTGCAAAGTGTATGCACTTACATTTGTTACGTACAGTAGAGGAATATTCAGCTCACCCTTGTGTGGATTCAAGAGCTGAGAACATCGTTGCCGGGAGTGTCACTGTCACGTCTGAGAGGATCAGTTGTCGAGCCAGTCGAGCACATGCACGCTGAATAAGAAGTTTTCAGTGCCGAGTAGTACCGAAACTTGCTAAGCCTGCGACAGAGCGACACATGACTCTGTCAACATGTCAACACAGCACCGACAACGCCGTCAGAAACTAAACAGGACGAAACGGACGAAACCATAAAACGGCTACCGCTGCGACAGCAGCAGCATTGACAGGGGATGTCGAACTAATAAAGCCACTATTTTGACATTTTATGGAAGTGACGTCGAAGACGTCAAAATAATTTTAAGATATCTAATGGTGGACATAGAAATATTCACTGCCAAATTATAATAGATCAGTACCCGTTACATGGCCGGATCGTTAAAAGTGCTCATTTTCAGTGCTAATTTCTAAAACTTTCAATTATCGCTTTAAATAACAATATTCGATTTGACCTCTGTATCACACATTGACAGTACTAAGAAGTTTCAGAATATTTCTCACGCTCGTTGCCTGTTCTGTTTGGAGAGCTAGCATCGTTGGGTATGGTTGTCGCAGTATGCTACAGTGAAGTGACAACTACAGAGTAGGCATTGCAATTTTGCATATCTTGCTTTACCACAGTGCACCCACGTGCCAAGGGAACAGCACTACCCCAAAGGAAATTTGTTACACACAGCTTCTGGAAAGAATAAAAAAACTGTGGTTGTATATATGATAGCGACATTCTCATGAAGCCTTTTTCATATTCAAGATTCATCAAGGATATTTCAATATTGAAAGAACACTTTTATGAACCGCTCTATACATTTATTTTTTGTCAACTCTCATTTAGTCATTACTTTCATACACCATAAAATATCGCACAAGTGCCTGCTTTGTTCAAGTGCCCACCATTAATGAGGGAGCAGGAGGACATGCCTGGTCATTAAGACAGTCCTCGTCGGGCAATCTGGCAGTGCACTGCAATAGGGGTCCATGTGGCCCGGACTTGGAAAGAACAACAATTCACGCTAGTTACGCAGGCAAAACCGCCCGTGGAATTTACGATTCCTTTTGCATTAGACATCAAGGAGAAGGCATGTATGTCAGTGCGCCGTGACTGCACCTGACAGAGTTTTTCTCTCTATGTGAGCAGCCGGAGGAGCGATATTAATAGCATGTTTTTATTCAATAAAGCTTCAGTTGCGAGTGTGCTACGCCTTTGTCTACCACTTCGTCCCCGTTTGTTCCGCGCTTCCGTCCAACGATGTACCAACAACTAGTCCATCTTTCAATCTTGTTCACATTTCTTAAACTTGGCAATTCTGCGAATTACAGTTTAACCGCCCGATTTGGCCGGACAAGCGGCCATGTCTAGTTTAACCCAGTTCTCGGTGAGAGTGGGGGGGCGCTCCTAAGGTATTTTGTGGTATGTTCGGCTTGTTGAATGGCAGAATGAATACAGAAAATTTAAACTAGATTAGCTGGAACAGTAAATGCCAGCCTGGTAATTCCTTCAACAAGTTCGGCAGGATTTAATATTGTAAGAAAGCATATTTAATACATGCATACCGATGTCATAAAGTTCAGCTTAATAAATCTCATTGATGTTTATAGTCAAATGACAAAAGCTTTGTATTATATCTAAATTAAAAATTGCAGTTTTATTATAACTTTTAGAACCTAAGAAAAACATTGATTTCGGTGCGGATATTATTATATTCTAGCATTATTTCAGCGGACAATAAGTTTGATTTCATACCTAAGATAACCATGCACAGAAGTTTGTACTACCGTTCATGAATGAGCGTCTTGTTACTATGCCTTGGGCTTCTACATGCAATTAGACTGCTGGCTATGGAATAACACCTGAAATACTGTTGATGCCATCAAAAGGTTTTGCAGAAGCTGGAAGGCAAAGTAGACATAAACATTATAATCACACTGGCATGGATGAAAATGAAATGTGTGCTTATGCTCCAAAAGTATGTTTTTGCTGATCCAAAATGAACTTTTAGCTGCTCCAAGAGATGTTCCAAAATCACTCAGCTCAATCCCATCACTCTTAAGAGCAAGGACACACACAGGTGAAAAGCCATACAAGATTAAGGGGGGACACTACCCAGAAAGGTGAACTTCTGTACCGCTTCCTTGACTTCAATCCAATTTGCAGTGGAAGCTTATATGAGTGGCAAGACCATCCTTGCCAAATTTCATTGTCTTTTGTCAATTCTGAAACTTGTTGCAAACGTTACAATGTGGAAGTCAGTGTGTTCGCTTAGAAAAACTATCATTTTAAAATAAAATAAAAATTTGTGATTTTTATGTGTAATATAGTCATAGGAATACCCATAGCACATACTCAGCTAGTTATTTTGCTATATTTCATTGTTTTTCATAAGTATAACTCCCCAAGAAGATTACATTTTTGTTTTCATGTCTGCACTTTTCGCATATGTAGTTTTTTTAGCATAAAAGAATGTTAAAGTAGAGAAACTAACCAGCCAGGCATGTTCCTCACAAAGTTCTATCCCAGAAAACCACCTAAGAATAATTCTCTTATGTGTAATAGGAAAACGATAGTTTTCCTGAAGTGAAATTCATGACGAAAAGTGGAACAGAGAAAAATGCATTCAAAGTGCTCCAACCCCTACCTTTTCTTTAGCATCGGTAGACCGAAAATAATCTATAAAAAATTAACTATGCAGTGTAAACTAAGGATTTTTTTTTTGGCAATACTCTCTAGATGTTGGTGGATGTTAGTATGCCATTTTTTTCAAAATCAACTTTTTTTGCAGAAATTGATTTTTCTGGGTAGTGTCCCGCCTTAAGCTGTGTCCCCAAGTCTTTGTTCAGAATTCCGATCTGATCTGCCATAAACAAACGCACAGTTGTGAAAAACCTTATGGGCAAGGTGTGTTCCCATGTCTTTGCTCAAAATTTCAATATTATGAATCGCACCAAACAGACATGCAGGTGAAAAGATATACAAGTAGAAACTGTGTTCCCCAAACTTTGCTTAGAATTCTCATCTGGCCAACCATAACCAAGTGCACACAGAGGAGAAGCCTTATGAGTGCAAGCCGTTTCCTCAAACTTTACCTCAGAATCGCAGTCTAATCAACCATACCCAAACACACACAGGGGAAAGGATGGAAAAGTGCAAGCTTTGCTTGGAATCTTTATAATCCTGCTTAACCGAGTGCACACGGGCAAGAATGGCACCTTCTGATCTGCAACAATCAAGTACACTTACACTAAAAGTTTTATAAATCAGCCCAGAGTTGAGCCTCCCATGCTTCATAACATGTAAAATCATTTAACTCGTACTGAGTTATATACCATTTCATTTGATATTAAGTGCACGCGTGCCCTAAAGTCTTTCTTTACTCTAATAATCAAGCTTGCCACGCTGATTTGCTCATGCAGGATAAGCTTACAAATGACAGCCATTTTCTAATATGTTTCTTAGCACGTTTCACTTGTAGGGCATGTGCCAAAGCAGAGGATGATGATCCTAAGGGAGATTGCATTAATCTGGTGGCAGGGACTTTGAACTGTCAATGACGTCTGAGAACCGTCGGTCAAATATCCAGTTTGGTTACATCATTGATTGTGCAACCATGGCTAAACTCTTGCATTAATCATGAGCCTTTGATCCGAATGCCACTGTTTGTATTCACACAAAGGTGTTGAGGAGTATGGAGACATTTCTTGCCAGCAGTGATTAAGAGGGTAGTCAGTGTAATGGCAAAGCTTTCATTTTTTTCATTAGATTGAAATAGGTCAGTGTAGCTAAAGCTCTCGCATGTTCCTCATCTGGATGCACACTAGGCCATGCTTTTGCTCCTGTTCTTGCTCGAGGTGTGCTCATTTCGGGTGAGGTCCAATATGTTTGTAAAACTGTCTTCATTGTTTTGTTTTTACTCTGGTCTATATTAAAGATATGCACTTGCAAAAAAAAGTCTGGCAGTTTAAATTCTCAGACTTTCTTTTTTCTGTTTTTGCAGCCTTGGTACTGTAGGAAGTAGGGAGTAATTTTGGGGATTTTAATTTTAATGTCATGTAGCATGCCTTTCCAGTTTGCAATTAACTCGGCTGGGAGCCAATTTTGAATGCGTCTGTGCACTACAGCTGTTTGTGCTCCCCATTTGAACCTTGCTATACTCTGGGACAACCTTTCTTGGCAATGCAGTCAAAAGCACTGGCAC